GGCAACACTGAGTGAAACCAAACATACCACATTGGAGCGGATATTTTACAGAGCGTTGCGTATGAATGAAATCTCGATTATTTTTTTCGAAGGGACGTATCTGCTTTTGTTAACAATGCGTTTGCTCGAAAGATTTAACTTGTGTTTTATTTGTACTCCAAAAGTCAAATAGTATCCGATTGCACTTTTCATTCGCAATCCTAATGAAATTGTTATGGTTATTTTGCTTAACGACGTGTTTCGGATATCATTCAAACTAAAGAGCCTGAATTTACAAAGAGACGACATGTCAAAATTGGAACAATCGATTGTCTGTCAAAGTCATAGGAAAAGTCATTCCAATCGAGCAGAAGACCTGCCAAATGGATAAGATGTCGCCTCTTTATAAATTCAGGCTCTTTAATTCAAACCATTTGTAGAATACATCAATAATTTGGGTTAGCATTCGTTTATGGTATTTTTTATTAGCAAAACTTAATTACTAACTTAATTATAATTATTTAAATGATATTAAATTAAAAATTAAATTTAAACCGCCATCTCAATACTCATCAAGGCCGGCGCACGATGTATAAGTTTTCAGGTTTTTTGACAGTTAAGGCCCGAACGCAATGTGGGCGGAAGCGGAACGGAAACGGAAAGTTTGACAGTTGTCACAAATGACATCAAGATGCCTAACCGAAGTCGATTTGGTTCTAACTAGTTTTCAATCCGACTAGTAGGCTTACTCAGATCGGGCTTTTCCGCTGCCGCTGCCGTTCCACTTCCGCTGTCATTGCGCTTGGGCCTTTAGCCCATGCAAAAAATCCCGGAAACTTATACATTGGGCCGTATGAATAAAAAAGAGACTTTCCCGTGCTTTTCTTACGGGAAAACCAAGGGGTTGGTCACTCTACACAGTGTGCCAAAATCAAACTGGGGCACATCGGGGTGCAGTCATTGACGTTGTTTGGCACCCATGGTTACAATTTTTATGATCTTCAAAGTTACTGGCAACACTGAATTTTTTCTGCGCCTTCGCAGTGTGCATGTGTCAAAATTTGTTATTGACGTTGCCACTCCTAGTCAAATTATTTTCAAAACAACCGTGAATCTCCATCAAGTCTCGCCATGGATTCTCAAAATCGTTACAACCGTGACGGCAGTCGCATCCACATTTCCTCTCATACGAAGAACAGTTGACAGCGGTATCTTGACCTAACCGAGGTTTCCGGCCATGGCTACACGAACTAGCGATGCAGCTCCCACGGCTGCGGCTGCTTCCAATACTGCTGCTGGTCCGTCTTTTTTGACGAATTTTAGAGGAGACGGACCAGCAGAAGGAACAGCAGCAGCAGCAACTAAAGCAGCAGCAGCATTGGAATCAGCCGCAGCCGTGGGAGCTGCATCGCTAATTTGTGTAGCCGTGGTCGACGCTGGAAATCTTGGGCCGGTCACGACAAGCGGTGCTTGAGTTTTAATCGGAAAGTCAGCAACCAAACAAAATCTATACCATCCGACCATTCGAACTGCTCGAATACATCCATGGCGGTGGCTGCTACATCAACCATTCCATCGTCCAACATATAATGTTGGAGGACCGTCTTGGCAAAATCTCAAATAGTTCAACAAATTTTTACTCTCGTTCCTTTGTGCACTTCCAACTAACACGATAAGAAATTATAATTACGAATCATAACATTAACTACCCAGAAAAAGGAAAATCTTTTCTTTTCTCATAAAATAAGCTTCCGCTCTTTCCAAACTAACGTGTTTTCGGTGTTTTCGTTGCTCCACGCACCGTTCATCTTCTTGGAGGAGGAGAAGCACAGCTTCATAATTAACGGGAGTTTTGTGCATTTGTGATCATCGCGCTGTGGTTGCACTTCATGATGACGTTCACCGCCAGGGCTACGCTCGGGAACTCGACCAATCCGGAGGAGGAACTTCCCGATTTCAGCGGGAACATTCGCACTTGCGACGGGTGGCAGCCCTTGGTGGTGAATGTAGTCAGCAGCAGATCCTCGGATGGCATACACACTTAATCTAGCTCGGTAAAATCTCCAACCACCGATTACCTCGGTATTTACTTTGGCTGATATATCTGCAAAATATCTGTTTGTTAGCTGAAATCTCAGCAAAATGATATTTGGTAGCTGAGTCTTTAGCATCTCAGCAAAATAAATTGCAGAACTACTCGGCTGTTGGAATCTCGGCGAAAAAAATTAAGTGTGTACGGGTGGGTTATTGCAGAAGTGGAGAATGCGATTATTGCTGGCCTGGGAAGTGTTTGTTCTTGGAGGCGCTGTAAACCTTGAAGCTGATCGAATTGTCCTGCAGGGTGTACGGGTTGGTGGACTCTGACAAGTAGTTCAGCTTGGAAAATTGGCTGGTCCGTTTCGGGTCAGTGGTGCGTCCTTCATCAGTCCGACGTGTGTTCTGGCCGGTATTTGTTTCCAGTTTTCCGACGGATGATACTCGGGCGGTGAAAAATACGGTGCAAATTCATTTCCTCCGCCGACTCCCAGAAGGGTTGATCGACTAATGATTGACGTTCGTTGTGCGGGGTCGGCCTTCCGCCAAAGATGGAAGGATCGTGTAGCAACGGAGCTCGTCCGTTGCAGGCACCCTTGGAGGCGGATGCATCCAGTGTGTAGTCCCAACTGGAGTCCGTGTCGTTTTTGAAAACATTGAAAAACAAAACAAAAATAAAAGCTGTTAAAATACCGGGTTGCCAAACAAGGCATTATTCACAAGCAATCAAAAGTCAGTTCAATGACTTCTTGACACTGCCGGTACAACTCAATGACGTTTATATAAGGTCTGGGCCAAAGGGCTTATTGGTGTTAGTGAAATGTGCAAATGGTTAGTGGTGTTCGTATTACCCTAGCAACACACATGTTCTATGTCAGTTTATATAACCTTTATATGACTGGATTTGGTTGTAAAGAAGTTTACTCAACATAATGATATGAATTGGTGTTACTTGGGTATATTGCAATGTTTATCTTTTTACACGAAACAGCTGTTGGCAGTGACGTATATCTATCTGTTCTCAGTATGTTGGCAGTGACGTACACAGCAAAAAAAGTTGTTGAATATTACATCGAAACTGCTGCAACCAGGTAAATCCATCGGTTGTGTAATATCACATTGTACGATGTACATCGATTTTGCGAACAAAATTACATCCATTGATGTAATATTGTGTCTGCTTTTTGCTATTACATCACTATTTCATACATCAGCTTGAATTACGTTGATCGATATTACATTTTTTTTTTGCTGTGTATATCTATCTGTTCGCAGATGTTCAGCAATGTTTACAACATTTTTGCTTCTAACACCAGCAAGCTGCCTGTTGGCCCAGACCTTATATAAATGTCATTGGGTACAACTGCGGCACACTGAGGTACACTGAGAAAAAAGTTGGCGCAAAACAAGTGTGTAGAGTGACCACCCCTTGGGGAAATCTAAAGTAAACGCTTTTATCCATACGACCTATTGTGCGCCAGCTTTCACGCTTTTGCTCGTGAAGCGGTCGTGTTTATTTACATTGCTCGCTTGGAACCGCGTTTGACGGTTCGATTGGCACTTTTGGCTTCAGTCTTCGCGCTTCTCTGATTACAATATAGAGATTGTTGACGTTTATTGCACAGTAAAGGCCCAAGCGCAATGACAGCGGAAGCGGAACGGCAGCGGCAGCGGAAAAGCCCGATCTGAGTAAGCCTACTTGTCGGATTGAAAACTAGTTAGAATCAAATCGACTTTGGTTAGACATCTTGATGCCATTTGTGACAACTGTCAAACTTTCCGTTTCCGTTCCGCTTCCGCCCACATTGCGCTTGGGACTTAACAGTTCCACTTGATTCTGAAAAAAATTAAAAGAACCACCCGCATAAACGCGAACCATAAATTGACCTTACACAGCAAAAAAAGTTGTTGAATATTACATCGAAACTGCTGCAACCAGGTCAATCCATCGGTTGTGTAATATCACATTGTACGATGTACATCGATTTTGCGAACAAAATTACATCCATTGATGTAATATTGTATCTGCTTTTTGCTATTACATCATTATTTCATACATCAGCTTGAATTACGTTGATCGATATTACATTTTTTGTTGCTGTGTACCAAAAATGGTTAAAAATTGTTTATAATCCCTGCTAAACTTCAACTGAAATGGTTATGGAACTTTACAAGAACGTTTAATGATAAAGTTTTAACCTTATGTATTATGGTTTTTTGGAAGCGGACCTTACAAATAATGAGTTGTTAAGAACCATTACCATTCAAAATTCTTGTTTTCTCCATATATTTTCGGGAGGAGGACTATATTAGAACCTTTTAACTTATGGTTTGAGAACATTAATGGTTATGGTTATGGTAGTCAGTAAGGTCCATGAATAGTTTTGTAACATCGATCAACTTTATGTGGAATATATCGCGAATTGGTTGCCTGTAAATTACTGATTACCAATTCACGATATATTCCACGTAAAGTTGAGCGATAATACAAAACCATTAATGGACCTTACTGACTATCATAACCATAACCATTAATGTTCTCAAACCATAAGTAAAAACGTTCTAATATAGTTCTCTTTTCGAAAATGTATGGAGAAAACAAGAATTTTGAATGGTAATGGTTCTTAACAACCCATTATTTGTGAGGTCCGCTTTCAAAAAACAATAATACCTAAAGTTAAAACTTTATCACACAAACGTTCATGTAAAGTTCCTTAATCATTTCAGTTAAAGTTTAGGAGGGATTATAAACAATTTATAATTATTATCGGTAAGGTCAAGTTATGGTTCGCGTTTATGCGGGCAACTTGGAGACTTTCTGACCGTGCCCCCACAAGCATCCGCTGCACTGTCTGCTGTCTAAAAGCGCTGAATAAAAGCAAAACAAATAGCTGTCAAAACGAATTAGATCTTTTTAAGGTGTTATCAGCAAAACAAAATTTTAATTTTTGTGGGTTACAGTTTATAATAATAATGATAAATTTAAAGTAAAAGTTGGCCGATTCAGAATAGAAACAAACTACCAACAACGCACCCAGGATGTCGCAGGAAAGCGCCATCGTGTTTACTATCTTTTACGCACTGTTGTGCTTCTGCATTGTCTACCCATCGACGGAGTTCGTGTCCGCCGGGCTGACAGTGGACCATGTCTTCTCGTCCACACTCGGCTCGGAAACGATAGGTTTCGTGCAGCATCACATCCGGCGAACCAGTTTGAACCTGATGGTCCACTCGCTGCTCCCCGTGATGTACATTCGGGTGTACTTTATGCAGTTTGAACAGGGCGGCGATCACGCGAGTGAGCACGATCCGTACTCTCCGTTGGCCCTGGCATGGAAGACGTTTATTGTGGCGACGATACTGCTACCGGGGCTGGTAGCAGTGGCCATCTACTACTGGTCCAGAAAGGGATGGGAGAATCACCCGATTGCCAAGCGGCTGGGGAAGTTTTGCGATGGAGAGCGACTGCGAGATTGGAAGGCAGTGACAGCAAGCATCAATGAAGAATACAGGAGGGATGATAAGGTGGTTATCAAGATGAATCCCGTTTCGAGAATTGTGGTGACGGAGAACTGGATCATCAAGACGGGTCCATACTGGATCAATATAGCGAATCAGAATGACACGGCTTTAATCGCCTACAAGGTAAGTCTTTTAGAAGGACTCTTAACGCACAAATAACACCTAACCGAGGATCATATTTTCAGAGCGACACCCACGACGTAAGCCAGGAAGCCTTCGAAACGGTTCAGTACGTCAACATTGCTGTCAAGCCAACCCGCGAAGGCATTCGGGAGTTCTCCATCAGAATCAATGCCCTCGACTTCAAAGACCTACAGGATCGTATCAGTCGGCCGATAACGATCTTGTCCAGTGTCAAATTTCATCGTTCTGTGCTGGATCGATTCGTCGACGTGTTTAAGGACCAGGTTGCTCAGAATCCAATCTATCGGCCGGAGGGACACGTGGCGATTGACAATCTAGACAGCTGTTTTGCCTGTATGCAGGCGCAACCTAATATAAAAATTCAAAAGAACTGTCTGGACGTGGACGAAGCAGGGGAAGCTCTGCCGGAGACCCGATGCTGTCAGGTATGCAACTGTCGACCCATGTGGTGCATCGATTGCGTGGCCAAGTGGTTCGCCTCGAGGCAAAACCAATCGGAACGGGAATCGTGGCTGCAGCAAAAGTGCACCTGCCCGATGTGCCGGGCACGGTTCTGTGTTCTAGACGTGTGCTTCATCGAGGGGATGAGATGAACTCTATCAAAAGGAATCGATAGCGAAAGGTAAATGTTTCACTATTTTTCGAATCTGAATTAATGTGATAAACACGAGCAAATGAGTTAGATCGCTAGTTCTCTGTAGAACCAAAAGAATGTCCTTGCAGGCTGTGATATAGCATATCAAATCGTGTGGCTTACTTGATAAAGCAGTCTTCTAATCCAACCATTCGTTAATGTACGAACACAGTTTAGGTGTGATTGCTCCGAAGTCCGAACAATTCCTGATCACCGGACAAATTCCACACGGCATCTGCACCAATCCCGGCGACGGAAGCGGTGCCTCCACCGCTTTGTATAGATATTTCCCTTCGGCCGTTGGAATAGACTCGGCTTTACCGTCGTAAACGACTGTCTTCAAAATTGTTTCCAGGTCATCCTCGTCCAGACTGATCTTACTGATGCCCAGATCGGAAATGAACTTGTGCACATCTCCGACCGAACAATACGATAGTTTCTGTACTGCAAGCGGTCCATCACGGCACTCTTTGGCCGATTCCCTTTTCATTCGAAGGAACCGCAAGCATTGCTGGTTGAGCACGTCTACAAATTCCGCTTCAAAATCCTGATCCTGATACCACGCGCCTCCGGTGATGGAACGATCCGGCTCCAGGTTGTACAGCATATAAACTTTCTTTTTGCTGGCCTTTAAGAAAAGATTCAAACTTACTTTTCTTACTCAGGAAAACAATTTGCACCCCTAAGTAGTACTTACATTAACCGACTTCACTGCCTTGATCAGCTTCTTGTGTTCCAACTGCTTCAGCACCTTGTTCAGCTGGGTCATGATCAGATTTGATTTGACCCTAATGTCCCTTATCCAAATGCCCTTGTTGCCACCCTCCTCAATGATGTTGTAAATAATCTTCTCCTCATTGTCGATATCCTTCGGTGCGGTTGACTTCTTCGTCGGATCCTTCAGCCGGTAGATCAGAGTTGCTCCTTTCTTCAAAATTTCCAGCACTCCCTCCTGCAGAAGCTTATTCAGCGCCTGCACCCGGTATTCCGGTTTCACGTCCGGAATCAATGCAACCAGATCGTCATTGTTGATGCCTCCCGGTTTGTCCTTCGCCAGGGCAATGATCTGGAAACCAACCGCTGCCGTTTCCTCCGCATCCGTAGACATGGCCGACAGTGTTTTAGCGGAGCTATTCACTTGGCGAAAGAAGGGAAAATTATATGATGGGAAAAACCGCAAATAACTACTGTATTTGATGAAACTCGTGAGAAAGAGTTTGAAAAACAACTGAAGAGCAACACAAATACCTCTGACAGTTCTATAAATTATTTTGTTTTGATTTACTTACACGCTATTTGTAAACTACCCAAATTTTAATTTAATTCACTCATCGGTCAACGGTGAACACGCTAAGATCAAACACCCAGATTGCGCTAAGAGATTACCCAGATTTGGCGCAAAGCGGACAAAAGATTAGGATTCCCGAAAAAAATAACAACAATAATACAATAAAAAACAATGTAACAATAAGACGAAAATTATTGTCTTAACAATGATTTATATTGTTACGTCTACAATAAATTTACCTTGATTTATGTTGTACAAAACAGTAAATTTCATGGTAAATGGAAAATTTACAATAAAAAAGGGGGGTTGTTAAGTATCTTAACAATGAAATTTTCGTGATTTTCCCATATAATTCTTTTTCAATTGGCAAATCAAAGTTGGCACTCGTGGAGAATAGAAGAACTATGAGAGTGATGCTAGACTAACATTTGAAAGGGGCGGAAGAGCCAAAATGTAAACAAACCATATTTTGCCACAAATAGAGAGAATAGTTCACAAACTACTCGATAAACACGAAAAAGTAGAAGAAAATATCACTTCAAATCATCAAAAACGTTTCTTCTTACATGGCGTATTTCCAACTTTCAACTCTATGATGCATCTGGTTGTTACGCCTTGCACCAGAACTACGAATTATATCGTTTTAATATGCCAAACGTATTGATTCTGTAGTATCTAGTCACGCCCGATTCATTTGAAATGCATCCGATTGATAGTTCACGTGTAAACAACGAACAAAAAGGAGACCAAAAAATCTCCGGGCGTAATTCCACTCTCACAAAATTTGCGAACGAAGAACCAAGGCGGAACAACAAACAAAAAATCCCAAGGGTGTACTTCTACGGCGTATCACCAGTGTTGGCAGTTCAAAGGGTGGAAGATCTGGGGGGTAACAACATGTATGAAATTATCAGGGCGTATGATGTTTTCTTCTCAATTTCACGACAAAGAAAACTTTTTTTGAGTTTTTAGTGATGCACGATGATAGATAACACTATTAACTATATGTCAAGCTTATAAAATCAACCAGAAAATGGAAAGTCGTGAAATAGGATTATCTTTTAGGTCAACAAAATTCAGAAACGATTTTCTCGATATGGTCATTTTGGAATTACGCCCTTTTCAAATGTTAGTCTAGGATGATGGTTTCAAAATTTTACACGGTGAGGTATACGAGTGCAATCTTGAAATGCTTTTATTTTGCAAATGGAGCATTTTATTTAAATCTGGTTAATGCTACGCTAGTAGAAAACTTGAGGACTACTTAATTGACATATAATATAGAAAAAATAATTTCTTTTCAGATTTTTATGTGTAGACATAGATTTCAGCTTTTCTACAACTGTAGCAGCAACCAGATTTAAATAAAATGCTCCATTTGCAAAATAAAAGCATTTAAAGATTGCCCTCGTATACCTCACCGTGTAAAATTTTGAAACCATCATCACTCTCATAGTTCTTCTATTCTCCACGAGTGCCAACTTTGATTTGCCAATAACATTATATATTATTGTTATTTTACTGTTGGTTGGCGAATTTATTGATTAAAAAAAATAACAGTGTCTGTGTTGGCTTGACAGATCCACTTTATCGACTTTAAAAATAAATCGAAAAAATAAAACATCGCCCCGGGAAGGGAAGGGGGTGGTATGTCTGTTACTGGCGAGGTTACTGGTGAGTCCTTTTTTTTTTACTGGTTATGGATTGAGATTCGGTCCGGAACTTGTGAGAAATGGAAGCCAACTCCCCTGTACTCGATCTTTCTAGGTCACGTCCCCTTGGTGGTTGAGCGTCGTTGATAAGTTAATGCATTCAACTGGAGGGAATCGCCCATGAAATATGCTTCCACCTGAAAGTTATTTCCTGACATCTTCAAGTGGTGGATTGTTTTATTATTTTTGTATGATTATTGACTGCACGGAAAAGGTCTGCATTAAGCGGGATTTAGATGATACAGGAGAGTTGAGTTCAACTCAAACCGATCTGGTCGTAGGCGTTCAATTGGGTTCTTTAATGGTATTGAGGTAAATGCATATTCGTAATCTGCATTGAAAATGGAACCCAAACCCAAAATTTCATCAATTTTGGTACACTGGAACTATTTTAAATAAGTACGTTTACATTTGCAAAAATCACCTTATTAGCGCCCCTCGGTGTCACTTTGTATGGGAGCGAGCTGTCAGTTTGTCAGTTTAGTGCCAAACAGTGAAGTTATTATTTTGCTCTAAATCTTGATTTAAAAATCGAGATGAAAGTATGTGGGGTCGAAAAAAATATCGCTCTGCTCAGAAAACGAAGCTCTTTCAGATGATATACAAAAACCGATATATTTTTCAAAATTAAAGAACCCAATTGACTTGGCAACGAATAGAGCCAAACGAACTGTCAAAGTAAGAGCCATACGAGCAGCGCCTATCTTGATTACATTGGCAGTGTTGCTGACCCTCTCATAGTCAGCATGCTTCAATCAGATTTATTTTTATTGTTCGTGTAGTAACCCACAATGAAAACACACCAATATTTAATGTAACAACAATTTTTATTGTATTAGAGTTGTTCATTATTGTTCGTGATCGAATCATGTTAACAATAAAATAAATGAAAAATACAATAAAAATCATTGTAACAATATTTTATTACGTACTTTCATTGTACAGCTAGGTAGCAGTTTCGCCGTTTTCGGAAGGGTACAACCAACAATCAATACGAAACTAACGATTTTAAATTGGCTCACCACTTTAGTAGCCTATTGGTCCCAAGCAAACGATTAACGTACCCTATTCTAGTTGAAATACTATTACTACACTATGTTTGTTTTGATTCGCTATGAAAGTTTGACAGATAACATCAGGGGTGTGTGGATTCATGCAGAACATGCAGGGGTGAGTGAAATAGCTTGGGACTGCTTGGGACCGTTGTTCTGGTACTGAGTGAGCCAAAAATAATAATGATTTTCTTCGGGACCCAGTGGTCTTAGAGTTACCTCTATGGTACAACCAAGCGGTGGTCACTCTACACACTTATTTTGCGCCAACATTTTTCTCAGTGTACCTCAGTGTGCCGCAACTGTATCGGCAGTGCCATGAAGTAGAAGAAGTCATTGAACTGACTTTTGTTTGCTTGTGAATAATGCTTTGTTTGGCAACCCGGTATTTTAACAGCTCTTGTTTTTGTTTTGATTTTCAATGTTTTCAAAAACATCCATCTTCGGCGGAAGGCCGACCCCGCACAACGGAAGTCAATCATTAGTCAACCAGTCCTTCTGGGAGCCGGCGGAGGATTTGCACCGAATTTGTCACCGCCCGAGTATCATCCGTCGGAGAACAGGAAACCAACACCGGCCGGAACACACTTCGGACTGATGAAGGACGCACCGCTGACCCGAAACGGACCAGTCAACTTCATTCAACCCGCACAGCAACGGGGCGCAGTGATGATGGTCTACGGACTCGATAACAACACAGCCAACACCGATAAGCTGTTCAATCTGTCCTTCCTGTATGGAACTGTTGTCAGAATAAAGTTCCTGAAGACCAAAGAGGGTGTCGCCATGATTTAGATGGGAACGCCATCGCAGTCGAACCAGTCGAACGTACACCCTGCCGCGCAATTCGATCAGCTTCAAGGTCTACAACGCCTCCAAGAACAATCACTTCCCAGGCCAGCAAAAATCGCATTCTCCACTTCTTCAATACCCCACCCGTATGCCGTCCGAGGATCTGCTGCTGACTGCATTCACCACCAAGGACTGCCACCAGTCGCAAGTGCGAATGTTCCCGCTGATGTCGGTAATTTCCTCCTACGGATTGGTCGAGTTCCCGAGCGTAGCCCTGGCGGTGAACGCCATCATGAAGTGTAGTAGCGGTGGCGATGGATGTATTCGAGCAGTTCTTATGGTCGGATGGTATAGTTTTTGTTTGGTTGTCTTTCTGATTAAAACTCAAGCACCGCTTGTCGTGACCGGCCCGAGATTTCCAGCGTCGGCCACAGCTACACGAATTAGCGATTCAGCTCCCACGGCTGCGACTGCTTCTGCTTTAGTTGCTGCTGCTGCTGTTTCTTCTGCTGGTCCGTCTCCTCTAAAATTCATTAAAAAAAGACGGACCAGCAGCAGAATTGGAAGCAGCCACAGCCGTGAGAGCTGCATCGCTAGTTCGTGTAGCCATGGCCGGAAACCTCGGTCAGGTCAAGATACCGCTGTCATCTGTTCTTCGTCTGGGAGGAAATGTGGATGCGACTGCGGTCAGGGGTGTAACGATTTTGAGACTTGGTGGAGATTCACGGTTGTTTTGAAAATAATTTGATTATATTGTGGCAGCATCAATAACAAATTTTGACACATGCATACTGAAACGCAGAAAAATTTCAGTGTTGCCAGTAACTTTACAGATCATAAAAATTGTAACCATGGGTGCCAAACAGCGTCAATGACGACGCCCGGGGGTGCCCAAGTTTGATTTTGGCACACTGTGTAGAGTGACCAACCCCTTGGGTACAACATTATAACAATCATTTTTATTGTCGACAATAAATATTAATGTTAGAGCATTGTTTCCACTGAAAATTTCACTGTAACTTTTTTTTCGGGTTTTGACGTCCGGTTGTATTGGTGCGATATATCAGAGCCACCGACAAACCGACATGAAACTAAAACTTAACTCTTGATCGAGAATCCATAACGGCGGATTCAAATTTGCAGCGATCCCATCTGTCAAAACCATAGAAATTTGTTATCTAAATAAAAATAATTTGCCCGGAATAGATTAGACACGAACCAACTCATGCATTTAGTATATGTGTTCGTGGCTATGATACACATTTTTCGCGAACACGTCGGCAGATGTCAGTTTTGTGCATTGATCAGAAATTTGATGATACTTTGTATGATCATTCATGTCGGTTTGTCGGTGTCAGAGCGTTGTTGTTGTTGATTATTAATTTATTTGATCAGGCTCAATCGAATTAACTGTACAGAGCCGAGGATTCTTTTTCACTATAAATAATACATCTTAAAACCACTGACAAAAAGACATAACACATTGAATATTTCTCACTGTAAAACATCGTTGCTAAAACATTACCGCCATCTGTTGAGTACACTATGGTGGGTAGTACGCAGAACAGATGGCGGTAGTGTGTAAACGTCAAACGCAAGGGAATTGACTATGCGTGCCACAGGTGGTGGTACTACCGACTACACAGCAAAAAAAAAAGTAATATCAATCAACGTAATTCAAGCTGATGTATGAAATAATGATGTAATAGCAAAAAGCAGATACAATATTACATCAATGGATGTAATTTTGTTCGCAAAATCGATGTACATCGTACAATGTGATATTACACAACCGATGGATTGACCTGGTTGCAGCAGTTTGGATGTAATATTCAACAACTTTTTTTGCTGTGTACCATACTCTTAAATTGACCGTTAAATGCTTGTTCTATGAACAACTTGCAAGTGTTATGTCTGTGTGTCTGTGTTAAAACTATACTCAAAAGGTACAACACAATAAACACTTTATCTTCCGCTATCCAATAAGCCTCCTCAATCAGAACGGGAGCCGCTTCCAGTGGTTTCATTGTATGGCAGTATCGCCAACCGGGGGCACAGCGCTTCCATTGCAGCAATGGACGCAAAACGTGGTCAGCATGGAACGCAAAACACACTCATCAAGGAACGCCCTAATAAAAATAACCATAAAGGAGAGCTTAACGACGTGTTCGGGGTATCATCCAAACCATTTGTGGGATAGTTTACCCATCCGGGATATAGTTCATTTATGGTATTTGTTTATTAGGGCGGTTGCTTTCTAAAGTCGACGACGCATCGACAGAAAGAACTGGTGATGAAGAACAATGAGGAGTACCACACAATGGTTGTTGTCGAGTAAACAGACGATCGCGTGACACACTGCGTGGCCTGCTTCTGTCGACAGCCGAGTAAACACTGATATCAGAGCGTGTTAGTGTAAATCCGAGGAAAATTCATAACGAATCGCTGACAAACTCATCAGTCAATCTAATTTCATACATTTTTTAGGTTACAACTTTACACGGTGATACACCCGCTAGTGTGCGTACGTTGACCGTCACTAATCTACGATTTCGCTGTTCGGTATTGTTTTTACAGTTTTTGAACTGTAAACCACACAAGATTATCGAACATTCAGCTATTCTCAATAAAACTACTGATGGTCAGTACCTTTTGCGAAAAACTATTGGATACACACTAAGATTTTGTTTTCGTGTTCGGTAAATTTGACCGAAATCAGAACAGCTGAATGTTCGGTAAAACTTCGAACTTTATTTTAAAGGCTATTTAATCTGAAAATAATTTCAAAACATGTTCAACCTTGTTTAAATGATCAAATCTTGTCATTTTAATGGAGATTTAGTTTCAAAGTAGCTGAAAAGCAATTGAAATGAATTGCATAAATTTTACCGAACAGTTCAGCTGTCAGATTTTAGAATGAACAGTATGTTTTCTACACATGAATTGTATGTGTACACATAAGAACTATGTGTCCGATATATCATTTGTTTATAACATTGCAAAAATTCATTCATAAAAATAATCATTCAAATTTTATTAGTGCAGATACGCTTTAAAAAAATTCTCTTTACAATGAGTAATAGTGCCTCAGTCTTTGAGTAAGATTAGTTTTCAGTGCACCATTTCCTTGCCATCAGTCGAGAAAGAATTCTCGCGTCACTTTTCAAATCGACCAATGTAACAAATGTAAACAAACCGAGTTAAGCGATACAAACTGTTGCTCTTCTATCATTGTATGTCATACAAAAACATCCATCCAAATTCACTTTCATTTATTTAAGATAATCATAGGTAAAAAATTGTCCAATGTACAGTTTGAAATGATGGGTATATGATTGTTACTTCGGTCATTCGGACTGCCTAACATGATTGGTGCTCATTTTTCAAAGGCGGGGCCAATCTAAAGTTAGGTACTATACTCTGAAATCTGTGAAAGGGAATCTAGTATCATGTAGACAAAACGTCCAATGTAACACTCATTGATTATGTCATTGAGAAAAATCGTCCAATGTAACATGTCCGATGTACAACTCTACTTGTCAAAACGTCCTATGTGGTTTTTCCTATGTTGTAGCATGAAATTCAAAGTAAAATTGTGATTTTACCGTTTCTTCTGAATTTTCAACTTTATTATACACTGGCTACATTAAAAATAGTATTGCAAAATGTATTGTTTTTAAACAGTTAAATTAATAATCTGTCGAACTTCAACTTCGATTTTCTCAAAATGGTGGATATGTTACATTGGTCTATTTGAAAAGTGACGCGAGAATTTTCCGTGGTTTTAGAAGTGTCAAAAATACGCTTCTTCTTTGTTCCAGCTGGAGCTTCTTGTCCTTATACGATTTTGTTTACAAGCGTCCTTGCGGCCTGAAAGTACCTCGGTTCGGTACCCAGATTGATTTGTACCTATATTTTGTATTAAACTATTATACAAACTTCGGTGTGAGCAGCATAAATTGAAAGCAGTAAGTTCCGAAAAACTGTACCTAGTTAAATTCAATTGACTAATCTAGAACTGCCGCAGTGACCGACGAGGAAACCAACGAGCCTCCGTACGTGGTGGAGAAAGTTCTGGACAGGCGAATCACCGCTGCCAGCAAGATTGAGTACTATCTCAAGTGGAAGGGCTACTCGGAGGCGGAGAACACCTGGGAGCCGGAGGAAAACCTGGAGTGCCCGGAACTGATTGCCAAGTACGAGGAAGTTCGCCGGCTGAAGGAATTCAAGGAGGCAAAGAAAAAGTCTGCCAAGAAGAAGCTGGAGGAGATCACCAAACCCCGTGGCTATGAGCGGGGACTGCAGCTGAAGGGAGTGTGTGGAGCCACGGATTGCGGTGGGGAGCTGATGTTCCTGGTCCAGTGGTACGGGTCAGATGAGATGGACATTCTGCAAGCTACGGTCGTGAACGAAAAGAATCCCACAAAGGTTATTGAGTATTACGAGGCCAAGAGTAAGGTGGTGGAGAAGGCACGGGAAAGGACAAAGTTTGCCGCGTACGAGGAGGAACGCCCGGAGGCCGGTGCTGGAGTTTGTGGCGACGTTGAGCAGGAGGTGATGCAGGGGACGGAAATTCCAGCTGAATCGTTTGAACAGATGATGCAAGCTTAGGGTTCTAATTTTAAGTGTATCGATAAGAATGCAAAGATAAATCGAACTGAAAATGCTACCTTTGGTTGAATTGACTATTTTTTTTACACAAGAAAACTACACAAGCTTATCTTCATCGATGAGTATCTTGCCGAAGGCACCGGTCCGGAAGGCTTTGATCATGTGCCTCGCAGCGAGCATAGCATCCGGTCGTATCACGAATGATCCATCGTAGTGACGGATTCGAACGGTCTTATCCAGGTGCTTGGACCCGGCTATGAGCACCTCGGCAATCGAATCGGTAGGCTCCTGCAGACCCATCAGTTCGACGTATTTGAAGTTCCCCCGTTTGTTCATGAGGTAGAGCAAATAGTCCGCTATCAGTTCTTCACCGACCAGGTGATCTTGTAGGCAGGAAACCAGTGCCAGTCGGAGGCCGGTTGCGGTGTCCGCAATGTTCGGTGCCAGAATACCGGGTGTGTCTAGCAGGTAAACGAGCGGGTCTTCGCAGATTTTGATTTTGTGTAGTAGGCTGCGGGTGATTCCTGCCACGGCACCGACCTGGGATGCTCCCCGTTTGTTCAGGTGACGATTTCGGAGCACGTTAATTAGGGAAGATTTGCCTACATTCGGGACGCCGATGATCATGATGCAGTACTCTTTTTGGTCCGCTCGGTTGAAGCGATTGGAGCCGAGGATGAGATCTTGGGCCAGGGGCATAACCTTTCGGATGCCGTTGCATGACCTGTAGGAAAATCATATTTAGTACACCGTGTCGAGTTAAGATATATTTTTTACGCATTTACTGATCTTTGCAGTTGGTGAACAGCACGTGCCGTGCCTCGGAATCCTTGTACTGCAGCCGGTCAATGATCCTGGCCTGCGATCGTCGATCGATCATGTCCTTCTTGTTTAGCACCAGTATGTGTGGCTTCACACCACTGATCGTGTACCGGAATTCGGAGTTCCGGCCGGATAGGGGGATTCTCGCATCGTGCACCTCGATTACGCAGTCCACTTGCTTTAGCTTTTGCTGCATCTGCTTAATGCCTTTGCCCATGTGACCGGGGAACCAGTTGAGCAGTTCCCGGCTCACGACCGGGAACGACGTCCGAAAGGTGTTCATGGTAGGTAAAAAGTTCGCACGTTATCGCACTTGAGTGTTGTCACAGAGCGGTTTTACTGTTTTGGTTTCACAAGTTGATGTTGTTGTTTTTTGGGTAGCGGGTGGTACTGAACTAAAGTTTGAATGAAGTGATAGGGGCGTACAGGAATCCACCGAAAAGCGCGGTGGGTGCCTGCACCCACCATTATTTCTCGGCTGTACTCCATCCGATTGAGCTGATTTGTTGTAGGTGCCTAGTGATTGGCGCTAATCACAAACAAAAAGTCAACTCAATTGGTTGGAGGACAGCCGAGAAATTACGGTGGGTGGACTGCAGCACCCACCGCGTTATTCGGGGGTTTGCAGTATTCTAAATTCACGGCTTTATGTGACAGTGGGGAGTGAGCTCATCGTCTCGATCTTCTCACTAATTTTCTCGAATCTCGCACAATCTCACCGAGGAAAACCAAAACATCAATGACATCATGCACGAACACATGCAAGTTCCATTCAAGAATTCCAATCACATTCGAATGTGTGTGCGCGTTTCCTTCCTTTTTCACCCATAATACCACCCCCTACTCCGAGAGAAGATCGTCTGTCGCAGCAACACAAACATGTGCGTTATTTTGTCTGCTGCTGCGAGACCGAAAAATCACCTCGGTAGAGATTTTAGTGTGTGAGTAGAGTTTGTTCGAAGCAGTCAGTAAATATTTTTCTCCTCTGTGTGCCATCATCAGAGGAGCTCGCTCGGGGTACCAGGCTCAGATTATAGAGGAGTGCAAAAAAAATCTTTATCTTTAGGCGAACGGAGAAACACGCAATAGGAGAAAAGAAAACCAGTGCTCGGTCGTCGGGATCGTCCGGATTCGAACGTTTCGTCGTTTTTCGCATGTGACAAGCCCGGGGGTAGTGTGTTCCGTTCCTGATTTGTTTGTTCCCTTTTGGCGATTTCCTGGTCCCGGACGGTGGAAAACTTTCTGGACCTCCAGCATAGCAGAAATTTTTCTCCGTCGCAGAACGGCGACGACGACGACGACGACGAAGACGGCAGGAAAACGGGGCGTCTTCCCTTCCAACCAAAACTAGCTCTCCAGGAAAGGCCACCAAGTGGACGGAACTGGAGAAAACAGTGCATATCCGTGCAGGTTTCGAGAAAAGGCAATCCGCAGCAGTTCGGACGAAACTGGTTTGGAATCGAAAAGGCTGAAAAAGAAAAATGGTGAGTAGCCATTGGAGAGACGTTGGATATTCGAGCAGTGCTGCCATCGATCCGAGGGAGACTGACATTTTTTTAAAAATTCTTTGAGCTCATATTTTGATTCAGATTACCTATGTGGGTCGGAACATTCCTGGATTTGGCGGATTCTGTCCTAACCTGGATATGGCGAAGACAAATCGCAGTCACCTTCAGACTGCTTTCAAATTGGTAAACCACAAATCAATGCGTGACTTTCGTAGGCACTGTAGGTACATACCCTACATACTGTTGTTGAATTTGCTTTTTTTCGTTTTTCGATTGCAATCCATTGGTGCTAGGAGAATGTTGTGTACCGGCAGCAAGTGCTCCGGTCACATGGAACATGGTCGTGGGGACTATTTTTAAAAATTTATACCGCATTGGCTGTTCTGTCTAGGCTTATGTATAGCGATCGAAGCGAAGAGAAAATCTCATAAAATACTCGAATTTTACCAAATTTGTATCCATTTAGGCTCTACTGATTCACTATTGATTACCCTCTTACTGTTCTCTCTCGCCAATGTACAGGGTGGGCACTTAACCGTGAGAACCGGGAATCGAAATAATCCGGAAAACAACCGGGAATTTCATTGCAACCTCAAATTAGATTGGTCGGATTCTGTTAATTTTGTTGAATATAGGGGAAATGGATGTAATGTCGGCCTAAATGCTCCTAATTTGGGCCCATACATAAATTCAGCAATCGACTAAAATTTCAATAGCAACCAAAAAAAATCCATTAGTAGCGTCCCAATGGTTGATAAATAGCAGATTTTTAGCGATGGGTCTAATCTTAGATTCATAGGCCAACATGAGAGCCATTTCCCCTATGTAAAATTTTCCTCTGTTGTATTTACTTTGCTCAACCTGTGTATGCCAACTGATATGTACTTTTTATAGGTGAACCACTTAAGAACTTAATTTAGCTTAGTCCGGAATCCAAAATCTTTAAAAGTCTTCGGAGTCTCAAACATTTTCGAAGTCCTGAGGAGGATTTACCGATCAGACTTATAATGGGGGTTCCACTCGTGTCGTGTGAGCCAGACTTTCCTAGACCGGGATCTTAAATCTTTTGTTGTAAATGACCAGTTCCACGCCAAACAGCAAAACAAAACTTTGCATAATTGTTTGTCATGGGCAATCATTCACATTTTTGCAAAAATTCGGCCATTTTGAATGTCTGAATTAACCGAATTAAATTTTCTCAAAAATCGTCTCAAGATCTCTTCAGAGTTGCTTTTAGGATTCTCCTGAATAAAATTATGATTCCCTCTTGTGTTCCCTTGAAGTTTGTGTGCATAACAGCCTTCACCATTCTCTGCAAACCACTTTAAGAATCCTGTCCAGAAAGCTCTTAATATTTACTCTACAATTTTCTGAGTTTTCTCAATAATTCTCGCGAGGATGCGCTTAAATTTGTCTCCACAATTCTCTTGATAAGTGTCCCTTTGGAAATTTTACGCATGGAATATGCCTTAAAGGGCCACCCACATTAGATCCGTTTGCGTTGCGTTGACGTAAATTTGACAGTTAGACAATAGATTTAGCTGTCACTTTGCCGCAACGCGTCCGATCCGGATCTAATGTGCGTGGTCCTTAAGGGTCACCCACATTAGATCCGTTTGCGTTGCGTTGACAGTTAGACAATAGATTTAGCTGTCACTTTGCCGCAACGCGTCCGATCCGGATCTAATGTGCGTGGTCCTTAAGGGTCACCCACATTAGATCCGTTTGCGTTGCGTTGACGTAAATTTGATAGTTAGACAATTTTAGCTGTCACTTTGCCGCAACGCGTCTTATCCGGATCTAATGTGGGTGGCCCTTAAGAATTCCTTTGAAGTTCACCTTGGAAGTCTAAGCAGAATTATCATGGAATTCCCGTCTGAACCCTAATTGTTACTTGGAATCAGAGTTTGACGTTTGACGAAAACCAAAAGTAAATTGTTACGGTACAAAAATCATCTTTTCCTACATCCTTCATCAGTGAGGAATCTTTTACCCTCACTTCGCTTTCTTATCTTTCTTCTTCTTCTTCTTCTTCTTCTTCTTCTTCGCATTTCAAGTTTATTGCTTATCGCATATTAGCTTATTGTTCTAGATGCACTTCCACAGTTATTAATTAAGAGCTTTCGATACCTGTACCATTTTTGCATTAGTATAATTGTTTGGCTAGTACAATCATACATCTATGCCCAGGGAAGTCGAGACATTTTCCAACCCGAAAAATTCCTAGACCGGACCGGGAATCGAACCCAGCCACCTCCAGCATGGTCTTGCTTTGTAGCTGCGCCTTTACCGACTGAGCTAAGGGAGGCAAGGACAAAAAATAACAAAAACCGTCGAACGTACATGTGAGCAGGACAGGGTATCTATTCCGTGAATCAAATCAGCATCGCTGATAGAAGGACATTTGTCATTGTTGAACTAAACGGAATACCAGCGAGTCTACAGTTGGTTAGTGTTGCAGACATAAAGGGCCACCCACATTAGATCCGTTTGCGTTGCGTTGACGTAAATTTGACAGTTAGACAATAGGTTCAGCTGTCACTTTGCCGCCACGCGTCCGATCCGGATCTAATGTGCGTGGGCCTTAAGTGTGATTTCAACTGACGTCTACAAGCAACTGGGTAGCCCGACTGGTGGATCGCCATCTATCAACGTAGTGAGTGCTTCTGGTGACGACATGGGTCTCAAGCTGGAGTTCTCCTGTACCGGTTGGAGTTCTCCTGTAGGTGTTTCGTCTACAGAGAAAACGATCTGAATCTGTTTGGAGTTGAGTGGTTCGAGCTTTTTGGACTATGGGACGTGCCGCGGTATGCAACCAAGTTTCCATAAAGTCACATACAGATTTAGTGAACCGTTTCAAAGAGAAGTACAGCAACGTATTCAGTGAGCATCTGTGTGAAGAAAAAGGTGTCTTTCACGCTCTTGCCTGGGGTCAAGCCGATTTTTCGTCGAAAGCAGCCAGTTGTGTGCGCTTCCGCCGAGAAAATTTGTGCTGAATTGGATCGTCTTCAAAGTATAGTGATCATCTCACTGGTCACCGGTTATTCGGAGTGGGCAGTTCCGATCGTGTTCGTACGCAAACCCTTTGGAAGAGTTCGTTATATGTTCGCTCTTCGATAAGCTGCACACGCGGCGTGGAATATGGCCACAGAAAACGGGGGAATTCGGTTCACTCGGACGAACTATAAATCAAACGCGTGGACTACACAGAAACGACCGTATCGTGCGGTGGTCAAAAGCCTAGTTTTTGAGGGGTGCAACTCGAGACTCAGAGGTAAGCAATAGGATAGAGCACTCGTCGTTGCTGCCCACCGAGCGAATATAGGCACATGCTCCATAACCCAAGTCGGAAGCATCGCAGAAGCTGTGCAGCTCAACCAATCGTGGTGATGCATGTGGTAGTACGCAACGTGGAACCGAAATTTCGCCCATGTTGATGATTTGGTTCCGGAAAGACTCCCACGATTCAGCTTCTTCGGTGCCCAAGACTTCATCCCATTGCACTTCAAGCTGCCATAGCTTTTGTAGTCGAACTTTAGCAGCAAAGATCAGTGGGCCAAGCAAGCCCAGTGGATCGTACAGTCTTGCAGTATCCGAATAAACGGACCGTTTCGTTGGTTGCCCGTTGTGGAACTGAATCTCGTGAAGCTTGGTCAGGAACACATCGTTGCGAGGTTGCCAGGTTAACCCCAAGGTTCTAGTTATCTTCTCGTCCTCGAAGAATGCAACTTGCTCCGTGTTGGAATTTGGCACAGACTGCAGAAGCGCCGGATGATTAGAGGCCCATTTATGCAACACGAATCCACCAACGGTCATCATTCCGATGAATTCTGTTTGCATTGCTTATGCTTCTTCGACAGTATCAGCTCCACTCAAAAGATCGTCCATATAAAAATCTTCGGTTCCCGCCTTCGACGCTAAGGGTAAACGCTCATTCTCGTCTTTGCACAATTGCTCCAATGCTCGCGTCGCCAGAAAGGGTGCACAAGCAGTGCCATAGGTTACCGTTGCCAAATGGTACACCTCTAAGAAATCGTCTGGATGTGAACGCCAGAAAATTAGCTGGTACATGCGATCAAGTAACCTGATGAGAATCTGCCTGAACATCTGCGTAATGTCAGCAGTGAATGCGATCTTCGGTATTCGGAACCTCAGCACAGTGTCAGCTAGCTTTCTTTGGACCACGGGACCGACGTAGAGGTGATCGTTCAAGGAGGTTCCTGTTGTTGTGATGGCCGACGCATCGAACACAACTCGTGTTTTGGTTGTTGTGCCCGCCGGATTGACTATACCCCTTGGCTGAACGATGTGCTGGAGTCTAATCACCATCCATTGCCCTTGCCTCAAGATATTTTGCTAAACTGACCGATAAGAAGATTTTCACACCGATCTGATGCCTATCTTCAAGTGGATGTCTGCGAGGAATCGAGGAAGATGTTGACAATTAACATGCAAAAGGGCCTTTTCCAGTTCAATCGTTTATCACCGGGAGTCAAGATAGCACCTGTTAAGTTCCAGCACATTGTTGACAGCATGATTGAGGGATTGGAGGACACGAGTTGTTAGCTGGACGACATCATTGTGGCAAGCAGCTCACTGCAGGAGCACATCGGGCAGCTCAATGTGCTCCTACAGTGAGCTGCTTGCCGCAATGATCGTCTGTTCAATCGCATCCACATTTGAAGATCGATGTCCAGACACTTCGCTGATTGTGCGGTCCATGCATGAGCTCCGTCACCCATTGGATGCTCTACTCAAGAAGGATACTGTATGGAATTGGAGTCCGGCATGTCAACGTCAACATGCAGTTCAAGTGCAATCAGACTTGCTGTCAACCTACTACGATCCAAGCCTGGAGATGATTGTCGCTGCTGATGCTTCGCAGAATGAAGTTAGTGTGGTTCTTCTACACCGTTTTCCCGACGATACGGTCAAAGCAGTTTACCATGCTTCCCGAATTTTCACTGGTGTCTAGA